AGTGTTTCAGTTGGTTTTCTCTGCCTTTTAAATTTTACTCATTTTAGGGTGTGTGTAGTGGTATTTCGTGGTGGTTTTCATCTTTATGTCCCTGAAGTCAGAGATCTTGAGCGCTTTTTTGTGTGCTTATTGACTATTTGTGTATCTTTCTTTCTGAAGTGCTACTCAAGTTTTTTGTCCATAAAAACAATTTTATTATTGATTTGAAGGAATTCTTTATATATTCGGGGTGCAAGTCCTTTGTCAAATAGTTTTGCAAATATTTTCTCGTTTGTGGCTTGTCTATTAACAGTGTTTCTTAATTAACAAAATACTTTAATTTTGGTGAAGTGTAATTTGTAAATTTTTTTTTTTTTTTTTAAATGTTTAGCTAGTGCTTTCTGGGCCCTTTCTGAGAAATCTTTGGCTACATTGATGTTGTGAAGAAATTCTCCTATTTTTTCTTTTAATGTAGTTTGTAGTTGAGTTTATGTTTTATATTTTTAATTTTATGTTTAGTTTTTAGTTTCGATGTTTTACATGTTATTCTTGTGTGTAGAGTGGGAGGGCATTGAAGTTCATTTTCTCCTTTATGAATATTCAGTTGTTTAAGTACCTTTTATTTGAAAAGACTTCCCTTTTCTCATTGAATTGTTTTGGCTCCTTTGTTGAAAATAAATAGAGTATATGTTAAATAAATTTTGTTAAACTTATCCATAAGTATTTCATGTTTTGGATGCTATTGTAAATGGTATTAAAAAAAAATTCTTCAATTTCTAATTGTGGCTGAAAATTGAAATTCAGTTGATTGTTTTTTAATTGACTTTTATCCTATGATTATAACTAAATTTACTCTTTAGTTCTAGTAGTTATTTTGTAGATTCCTTAGGTTTCTTCATGATCTTGTCCACCAGTAAAGAAAGTTTTACTTTATTTCCAATCTGTATGTCCTTTGTTTCTTTTTCTTTTCTTACTGCACTACCTAGGACCTCCAATTCCATGTTGAATAGAAGTGATGACAGTGGACTTCCTTGCCTCGTTTTCTATCTTTAGGGGAGTATATTCAGTCTTTCACCTTTGTGAGTGATGTTAGCTGTAGGGTTTTCATAGATGCCCTTTATTTGGTTAAAGAAGTTGTCTTCCTAGTTTGGTGAGAGCTTTTTCATTTTTGAAATCATTAATGGGTATTTAATATTATCAAATGTTTTTTCTGCACCTATTAAAATGATTGTATAGTTTTTCTCCCTTTATTCTCTTAAAACGGTGAATTACGTTGATTTTCAAATATTCAATCAGCCTTGCATTCTTGGGATAAACTTGGTCATGATGTGTTATTCTTTCAAGTATGTTGCTGGATT